GGGGTCCCTACTTCCCCCCCCCCCCCCCCAATTCTCTTTCTCTTCCTCCCTCTCCCCCTCCACCTCATATACTACTCAAATAGGTGGTGAGCCACAATTGTGAGCTAATAAGCCAATATAGGCGTTGAAAGTGCGGTCGTGCTAGCTGGGACGCATACGCGAGCCCTGCTCTAAATTGGTTTTGCGCAGTGAAGGCACTCCATGCTTGCAATAGCGTCTTATCGCCAAGAGGATCTATACACAGAGAGAGGGAGTGAGAGAGAGAGGGTGAATTAAGTGAGTAGGCTGGATGCATGGTGTAGATGACAATGTATAGGCTTAGAAAGACTGTCCATTAGAAGGCAAAGAATTGAGTGAACGTAATGGAGCTGTCTACCGAATGAGAGGTAAATGGAAAGGGCAGAGTAAACCTTGGAGATAGAGGCCTGATAAGACTGAGTGCTATGAAGTGGCAAAGAGGAGTTGTGCTGTCCCCTCGCATAGTTGGAGGAAGAAGAAGAAGAAGAAGAAAAAGAGTTGAAGATGACGGGAAAAAGACGCGATGGGTTAATGGAAAGGGAAAGATGAGTTAGGTCTGTCCTCTTCTTGATTGTTTAAGCAAGTAAATCAAATTAAAGTTGGATTGATCATTCCTGTTATTGAAAGAGGCATTGAAGAAGAGCATTAAGCAACTTAACTTGTTAAGACTTCGTTGCTGTTCCGACGGCTTTTGGCAGGAGTTCGATGTGTTTCCCAAACTCTTACTTGTAATTAGCCATGATGATGCAAAGGGTTGTAAAAGAAAAGCTTGCACGAAGTGATGCAACGTGCACCGATCAAGACCCCGAGAAAATCTTTGGACCGTATGGAGAAAAACTGCCAATATAATGGTGACTCCTGCAGCTAAAAGTGTAAATCCTCACAGGGTTCAACGCTCTTAATATCCAAAGGTCAGTGAGGTATGTTGCCGAAAGAAATTGAGAGGGTTGGAACAGCTTTAGGTTCAGTGAAAATCTATTCAAAAAAATGTCTTCTCTTCCCCTATTCTCCCGAATATTATAGTGTAAAGACGCCTTTTTAATTAATCAGACATTACTCTTACTGTTTTTGATAACGAAAAAGCTCGTGGGATTTGAAAATAGCAAGTAATTTAATAAAGACTGATTGAGAAGAAACAAGTAGAATTGATGTGCATAAAAATCGATGGTTTTCCTCAAATAAGTAAAAAACGAGTTTCTATTATCCAGGTTATTTTACTCCATACTAATTTTGCTGAAGGGGGTGTGTGCGATAGACTTACCTCCACGTGGTGCACCCTGGGCAACGTATACTCATGCGACAAAATGACTATCAACCGGCAGTTGACTTCTGACTTCAAACTACCAAGACCCCACTGTATGGCATATTTGACTACTTCCACAGTACTCACATCACCTTTCATCTACCTTTGTGTCTGTCTGTCTCTTTTACGTCTGTGAATCATTATTCTGTCACCCCTCTCGATTTTTTGCCACTTTGATGTTCATTTTCCTTTCTGTGAAGCCTGAAGTCAACTAAAGGGCCAATGGTACCTATCATAACGCCTGCCATTTGAAATAAATAAATAAATAAATTTTTCTGAAGGAATTTTATCGTTTTTAATTGATTAATATTATTAGACGAGATATTAATTTAATTGGTGTTTAATATTACTGAATTGATAATGAGGTGAATTGCCACTCAAGTTAAAAATTAAAATCTATCCTAGTTTGCATGCCTATGGTTGGTTTCTCTTTTAATAATTCAACCAACTGTGATTTTAATGTCCCCTTATAGTGTGGGTCTGGATTTTCTGAAACAAGATACGAGCAAAAATTCATGGGATAATACCTTACTTACTCTGTTTTAATGCTTATAAAGGCATTTAATATCACCAATAAAGGTGTCTATTCTGAACTCTTCTCTTTCTACGCAGCAGCGGGACACAATAGATCAGCTTTCGAAAGAGAAATAGAGGCCATTTGGATAGCACTATGCCAAATATGTTGCCTGGATACCCAATTCACCAAAGCGGTGATACTTTCGGACTCAGAGTCAGCAAAAGCGGTGATACTTTCGGACTCAGAGTCAGCAATAAACTCAATTGGAATCAGAGAGCCACCCAAATCAGATGAGATAAAAGAATGTAGGAAACTCTATCAGCTGCTGAGAGTGAAGAACAAAATAGTGGTCCTATTATGGATTCCTGGTCACTGTGATATTAAAGGCAATGAGCTTGCTGACACACTTGCTAAGAAGCATACCGATTTTGCAATGCATGGACCGCCTGGTAAAAAGGGG